TGGATAATATCGTGTATTTAATATCGTAGTTGCGAAGATTCATTGGAAGAATGAATCACGAAGTGTTCATCGCTGCAGCCAATTGTCCTCGTCTATTATCAAGTGTGTCATGGCTGCATTTAGGTGATCGAACGGTTGCGCAGTATAGATATTTTTTAATTTTATCACGCCAAAATCCAAATAGTGAGGTGACAGGTGTATTATATTACAATTATGTGGCAACGATATATTATAATCTATGTGCCAAAGCACACAACGTGTTGTTTTCAAAGAGCCTTAATTAATCTTTGGACATTGCCCAGTGAGAAATGACTCGTTGATTCGACATCAATTTGAAGGTATCGATATCAATTTACGATAAAACTAAGGAGGAATAAATTTACTTATAATTATATATTATTAATTTAATTAAATATATATTAAATATCCATTGCTGAGTAAATTATCTGCCAAGTATCTTAAATCAGTATGCAACATACACAGAGAGAGAATTTTCTCTTAAAATTTACCCTGAAAACCATGTATTCGTGGGACAACATGGTATTGTGAAGAACTTTATGACAGTTTTGTGAAATTTTACTGTACGTTTTACTAGTAGTTACACTTAGTACACATTTTACTAGTAAAATGAATGGTAAAATTTCAAAAAATTCTTCGAAATACCATGTCGTCCCATGATTACATGATTTTTAGGATAAATTTTAAGAGAAAATTCCCTCTATGTACATATACGTAAACGTCACAGATAACATTCAGTGAGAAATGATTCGTCGATCGATATCGAAACGATTTACATCAATTTGAAGGTGTCGATATCGATTCGACATCGTTTCGACATCGATCGACAAATCATTTCTCACTGGGTATTATCTGTGACGTTTACATATACGTATGTTGCATACTGCTTTAAGATACCTGGCAAGTAACGTACTCAGCATTGGCTATTTAATATATATTTCAGTAAATTAATAATACATAATTAAGTAAACTGTTCCTCCTTATTTTTTACCGTAAGGCAAAATTTAAATTGTTCAAATTTAATTTTCTTAATTCAACATTGTTAATTTAAAATGGAAAATTGTGAATAGTTTACTCAGCAAATACACTATTCTTTTTTACCTTTATCTTGCGGCGTAATTTAAATTGTTCAACGTTATAAATTTTAAGTGAAAGCATATGTGTAAATGTCATATACATTATTGACATACAAAGCTGAATAATTGTTTGTAAACAGAAATACAGTGCGCATTTTACTTTGTTACACATATAAGATTTTTATACATTTATAGCATGATTTCTTAAAAGTACGTTTTTAAAAATGTTGTTACGATTACATGATTACATGTATAAATATTACTTTGTACAATTGTATGGACTAAAGTTCGATAATCCTCAGCGTCATAGTTTCTGGACTTACTGACATGCAATAATTACACGCACTGATTAATCTCGTTTAAGCTTTTATTTTTGGCACACGTGTTACAAGATAAATACGCGCTCGAGGAGGCTCGAAAGGAGAGAACTCGTTAAACGTCAAACTTGTTTAATTAACGTTCTCGTGGCGATTAGCGACGCTCCTACGCGCGTTTCTTCGCGGTACATGCGTATATCGTGGAGACGGTTCCCTCTCAGTCGCTTCTTGCCATTTCACGGGGTAGGCTAATCGGTGGCCCTTGTTCCACGTGTAGAGCTCCTGTAAACGAGATAAATACTCGAACGCGACGCTATAGAATAGTGAAAGGTATTATTGGTTAATCGCGTACCTTGCTCTTATGATTATAGCTAACTGCCGTCGTCTTGTGGTACGGATTCGTAAACGTCAAGTTTACATCCAGCGTGGTATTCTTGTAGAGATCGAAGGCGAATCTAAGCAATGCGGTTGTGAATAATAATGAACAATTTTCAGGTCAGAATGAAAACAATATAAACGTACAGCACACGTATTCCACGGCTATTCGTGAATACGTTTTGAACATAATAAAGATAAGACGTAACGTAGTGGTAAAGATTAAAAGAGGTATTAAAGATATTAGAAAATAGTGAAAATCCAGGTATTTCTACGGAAGATTTGTGCTTTATGCGATCGTGACTTTAAGTATTCCACGGCTATTCGTGGATACGTTTCGAACGTAATAGAGATAAGACGTAACGTAGCGGTAAAGATTAAAAGAGGTATTAAAGATATTAGAAAATACTGAAAATCCACGCATTTCTGTGGAATATTTGTGCCTTAAGCGACCGTGACTTTAAGGGCAATTTATCACTCGCGTTACCGTATCTCCATAGTATCCTCGGTGACGCTGCGTATAGCGTAAAGCACGCCTCCCGCGATAAACATCTCCCCGAATCGACGGTGATCGATACTGATGTTCCACGCGTACTGAATACTCATTTTGGTGGGATCCATTTTCACCACTACTGTATTTTTACCGCTACAATTGGACGATAATGGATAAATGACCCATAAACCTGCAGAAAGGCCGCATATCATATTTTGTGCACGTTTTCATTATGTAATATTCAATTTCGCGTGAAAATGTGTTAAATATTTTAGTTCAATTGTTCTTCTTGAATTTATAAAGAGCGTACGAATATTCGTCCGCCGCGTGTTTTACCGTTTTCGTCCACGTTGAAATCCGTGTAGGTGAAATTGCGCGTGTAGAGGTAGTTCTGGCCGTCGACCTCCAAACACGGAAGCTGCATCTCGCATTCGTTGGTGAGCTCTTTGCACCGCTGGTGATTCGAGGTCTCGTCGAGATCGTATCGAAGGACCGACGGTCGATTAATGGGATTATAGAAAAACGACTTGTCGTAAACCACGTGTCCATTACCCTGAAAGAGAGAACGTCGGCCGTGGATTTCATTCTGATTTCAAGCTCCTCCTCGTTAGGCATGAAAAGTGCTCCAAAGTATGCTCTTGTCATATCGTTATTTCACAGCTATTTAAAACACTTTGGGAGTGGCCATAATTAAAGGGCATCTCGCCTCCGTCTGTATATTCTTAAGCTGCCGACCTGGAAAGGATGGGGTAGTGTTTTGTGGTCAGTCGCCGTGTTGTTCTTGAAGTACTCCTTCGATTTGTATTCATAGATGTAGGACGTCTCGTTGTGGCGGGTGACCCAAAGTCTGTCGGGCATGATGTCGTTGCTGGAAGACGCGTCGTACATCCAACTTCCATAGTGATCGTCCATGTTCCCTTTCAGCACGGGTTTGCCTATGGCCTCTATAAAACCCTCTGCGAATTCACCAACGTCGGTTATATCAACTTTCGAGTCCCCAAGTCGAGGAGTTCACGTGGAAAGAGCTTGTTTTTTGCCGCGATATTACGGGCACTCGTGTTTAACGGGAGTGCCGCCGGTTCGTTAATTGCGTAAACTTCCGCGATATTGCGACCCCTCAGTCATTAATGCACGGTTCTCCACTGTGTACTTGACCCGCTATGCATGCGCTTGTACACAGTGAAAGTAGATAAAAGTTAAATCGGCAAGAGTCCGCGTCGCGTAAAATTGATCGAAACGCCCGCTTAATGAGTACCGTGATATTAAATGCCTTCATTTCGAAACAAGAAAATTAATAATGATGTGCGATTAATAGATTTATAGAAGACACCCCATAAGATCGCCCCGAGGAGGTGCCTTTCCGTTTCACGTTATTGTTAATTTTATTTTGCCGTCGCATCGATTAACAAAAGTTCTCAACAAGTATCATCCGTCCCGCTGTATTTATACACACTGATTTCAATTAACGAGATTTTATACTTGTGTCATGGAAACATCACGTTATGCGTTTCACCTCGCAGCGTTGCCTCTCTACTTTCTAGAATTAATTGATTTACCCTGTGCAAGAACGCTGTTGGAATACATTAGTTAAAATTGATTAAACGTACCGGCTAACCGCGGCGGCGGCCGCGTATTATTAATATCCCTCAACGGCTGAACGTGCACGTGGTCTATGATGTCTGTGTACGTGCACTTTGGACACGTCGCGCAGGTTTCTTGCGCGGGGATGCACAATTCTTGCTCCTGATCGACGCTCATGGGCATTGGGTGGCCGTATGTTACGTGCTCCTCCTTCCCTAACTTGTACTTCTCGATATCCTTTATGTCATCTAGCATTATTCATCATCATTAATTGGGGAAACTCGGCAGCGGAGTTGTTTCTTAGCGACAGGCGTTAGAATCGATCTTAGAAAAGCAATTGCGTTCGAAGAAATGAAATTTTCAATTTCAGCAAATTTTAGAAATGATTATACACGACGGATATAGAAGCGAGAGACGTGCTTCTCAGAATTTATATTAATATCTATTTTCCCCGTTTCACGTGGAGATTGAATCCGGAGCGACAAGTGTAAGTGTTCGTTTGGAAATGTGTTGCGCCACGAGATAATGTAGAATGACAAGGCGCATCCACCTCAAACTCGGAGCCTTACTCCTATATCCTTCTCACGTTGTAATTAATTAGTAAATTCTGTGGGTCTAATGACTCTACATAATTCCATTGTCAGTGCAAAGCGCAATGCGAGATAATACGAGAGGTGAAACGAACCGTCTACTATAAAGGATCCTTTGACAACGTCAAGATCGTTTTTCGCCACGCAGTGGTAAGTCCCGTGATCCGACGAAGTCACCCTCGTGATCCTCAGCTTCATCTTCAGCTTTTCAAAATAGTTTGACGTATTGTAAGACACCTCATTTGTTGCTAACGTACGTGTAGCAAACGAGCAGGCGCGATTCGTTATCGAGATTTATACGAGGAGACGTGCAAGTCGCGTTCGTTAAAATGAAAAGAGGATAAGAAAATCGCGTAGGAAGCGATATAATGCGCGCGGTTTCGGCGAAAGTCCGCGGGTACGGGTTCGACGGGTTACCTTGTAATTATCGCGCTTGTCGGAAACCTCCGTTCTGTACTTATCCGACATTTTCAGGCGACGGCCGTCACTGCGCTCCCAATGTACCACCGGCTCGGGAAAGCCTTCCACCTCGCATTCCAATGTCGCCGGATTTTGGTTTCGCACGAGTACCACTTGGTTGCGTATACGAATGAACGGCGGAACTGGAACGCGATCGATTATCAATTTTACCCACATCTGCGCTTATCGATTCGAACAAAACTGGTTCTTTCGGAGTTATTCTAGTAATACGTAAAACCCAGAATGTGCTCCTGCACGTTACCTCGCAGCCGCACGCGAAAGTTTTTTTAAATTTTTTAAACCTACACAACCCCCTCTTTTGTACTCACTAGTGAATTATGAGTAATATAAAGAATAATATAAAGAGAGCTTCATGTGCAGCGGTTTGAAATTTGAAATAATAAGGTAAGATGTATGGAATAATACTGTAGCGTTTTAAAATAAGAAGCAATGGAAGAAGAATAAAGAACAAGTGATGTCAATAATAAGTTAAAGTTTCACATGAGAAATCAAAACAGATACGTATTTATATATATTTTTTTTATATTGTAACACATGTTACAATGCTTATTTATCTCTTTGAATTTCGTAGGCAAAACTTTAGACTGTCGACGTTTACTTCATTTTCATCTTACAATTTCATGCTTTAATACGCTACGTTATCAAAAGCTTAAAGAGAGGGTATTTTTAAAAAATGAGATTGCTTACATCTGACTTGAAGCTTGAACCTCTTGGACCGCGCTGGAGTTATTCCATTATCAGCGTTGCACACGTACTCGCCCATGTGTTCCCGGTTCACCACGCTGATGTTGAACGTGTGGCCCGTAACAGAGCTCACTAGAGTCGGAAGATTTATGGGAAGGTCCGTTAATCCCGTTCTATCCGCTACTTATTAAAAGAGAATTAAAGAGTCCGTTTATACCATGCCAGGGGCCCATGGGTATCAAAGAACCGTCTATTTTGGTCCATTGTATAACGGGCTGCGGTCTCCCACTCGCGGCGCATCTCAGCCGTATATTGCTGCCCTCGTGCACGGAAATCACGCCACTTGAATTCAACGGCGGTGTAATCTCTGAAATTTTCAAAGCTTGTGATATTCGTAAAAAAAAGTGCACATTTACGCAATCGCGATAGCCAACCTGAGGAGGGCAATCACCTTGTGGTAATATAAAATGACACGTAGTGTCTTATAGTGCTATCTTTACAAATTTATAATAACAGCTTTCGTGAAAACGACGAGGGGAAAGATGTGACAATTTCTCAAGATAGTAGGCCCTACCTACGATGGATGGCGGTATTAATATGTCGTTCTCGTTGTAATCGTTCACGTTCACCTTGTACGCTTGTATGCCCGGTTTACCGTCCTTTCCCGACGCACCTGGGTGACCAGGCGGACCCACGTCTCCTGAAGCATGAACAAGTTGCGTGAAATAAACGAAATGAAGGCACGACGGTAATGTCGTTACTTACCGCGAGGACCTGGCGGTCCCTGAGGTCCCATTTGCCCTGGTCTTCCTAAATGAATAAACAATGTCGATCAACCTTTTATCTGCGAGATGTTACGAAGAACGTACGATTTCGTTATACGCTTGCCACATAATCTAGAATTTAATTAGGGAAAAAGTTTTTATCGCAAGAGCAACGTTTCTTAGGGATTAGAAAGCTAAATCTTCTAATTAAAGGGGATCACGGAAAAAATTTAATTTAGCAGCCGCCCAGTGAGAGGGTGGTCCAAGTTCAAACTCTGACCGAGGTGAGTTTTCCGCGATAAATTGAAAAATTAAAATCATTTAACGCTAACATACTGTCGTGGCTCTTGCATCCTTTATTCCGTCGAATTGTGATTTTACGTCAGAGCCTTATGAATTTGATTGCTTAATTTAGCGAAACGTTTGAGAAATTGGAAATCATTAAAACGCATTTTCTTTTTAATTGAAAACCATATTAAAATGTTATTGTGAAGGACGCTCCTTTTTGAGTTTTGTCGCGTTCTCTCTCCGCGTCGAACCTTGGATTGCAACACGGTCGAGTAATTCTATGTCTAAACGTACCGTCCGTTCCGTTCCTTCCAGACAATCCAGGAGATCCGTTTGTACCTGGTTTACCGTCGCTCCCTGGCACACCGTCCAGGCCGCTTCTACCGGGAATACCGTCCAAACCGGGCTCACCCGGTACCCCGTCCCTCCCGTCGAAACCCGGCGGCCCGATGTCACCCTTGGCACCTCTGGCACCAGGATGACCCGAGGGTCCTTTCGGGCCGTCCATCCCCGGAACACCCGGCAGACCCGGTTCCCCGGGCGGACCCGGATTTCCGGGCGCACCGGGCAGACCTGGTGGACAATACTTGGCGGACGAACGGCAAAAGTTCTCGATCACGTCGTACTGGAACGTAAGTGGATATATGCTCGATTTGGCGCACACTAAAATCTGTTCTCTTGTATATTAAAATTTCTCAAATCGTAGACATTTCTGTCACGTCGAAATATTTTCGTGGCCTGATTTCTCTGCAGGCGTCTTCAAGTGGATTCTCAGCTATTCCCTCTTATACAACGATACGTTTGAAATACTCGCGTTAAAGACCAAGTGCCGTGGAATATTTGAATAGAATTATTTCCGCGGACATTTTTCTTGAAAATATAAAGCCCTCTATGAATAAGATTTTTTATCGAAAGACGATGTGAAGGATCCCAAGTAGAACATATTAGTCATGAAAACGTCAAGATGACATCGTTTTTTTATCATTCTTTATGCATCATGGCGACGTCAAAATAGCCCACCGAGAGCAGCTATTTGTGACATTATTAAGACATCAAAACGTTGTAAAAATGATCTTGTTTTACAAAGCAAAGTTAATTAAATATTATACATTAAAAATAAATTGAAGCAATATAAGATAAACATAATATATATGACTGATCATGTAATAATATATTATTACACAGTAAAAAATCGTGTGTTGAAATGTTAAAATTTTCTTGTGTTAACAACATTTGATTACTTCAATGTAAAATTAACATAAAACGGATATATGTTATTATTTTCGTAACACTTGTATGTGTTATATTTATGTTGACATAATAACTCGACACTTTATGTATGTTACTTAAAAATTGAATATTATTTTGAGTTCTTTCAACACGACTGTCTCACACAATCAACCAAAACGTGTAATATCGACATTTCTTAAAATTATTTCAATTATTTTAATTTGTAACTATTCGTACAATTTACTTGGCCTGTCTATTTTTATTAGATCACACTTATGGTTAAAAGAACATAAACATAAATGTGGGGTATAGTGTTAATTAATTAACATTTATTATCTGTCAAAAAGTAACACACGCGATGAATGTTATTTTAATTTAAAATTTAGAGTGGACTTTTCGGGACACGTGAAAAATGTTAACATTAACATTTTATTTTTTACTGTGTCTACACATCACGAATATCATAAAACAGCGTGTCATAAATCAGTCATTGCAAGGTAAATCTTGATGTCGATCATTTTATGACGTAAAATTCATCATTTTAACGCCACATTGACGTTTTTGTGATTAACTTGTTCTACTTGGCATCTCAAGCGATATCTAATTTCCTAACCGGGTCTCGTTTTCTTTGTTGAAATAATGAAAGTAATATGTCCGCAATACGTTTGCACGAGCATTATCGTTGTTTTAGGGGAGAAAATAGGTGTAACGGATACTTAGCAGCTATCTCCGAGTGTGTCTTCTATATACGCAACGTTCTATGTAGGCGACGGAAACTCGGCGGGGAACATCACGACAACATCTCGGCAAGTTTGAGGGGTGCATTCACGGGGATGTATCGCGAGACAGGTAACTAGTTCTAACAATCGCAGAGAACTGACTTGTATTCGTGTGTCGGCGTTAAACCAGACCCAATCCTGACCCCCGGCCACCGTTGGCGAAGACGCGGAGCCGGATACCATCGGGGAGGCGGTCGCCTTCTTTGTACCCTGTATCTCCTTGTCATCTCGGATCTGCAACCGAGCGGCCCCGCGCAATCCCGGGATATTAAGGGGGAAGATCTGAGATACCCTCGAGAAATTAAATTGGGAAGTGAAATCCCGGCTCTTAGGAGATCTCGGGGAATTAAACGCGGGGGGAGTCGAGAAACCGAAGTCTCTCTCTCTCTCTCGCTCGTCCGCAAAATTTTAGATATCAATTTCTTTTCTCTCCTCGCCTCTCGCGTAATTTCCAAAGCGGTTTTCCATCTCGATCTAAAGAATCGAATTTGCGCCCCCGCGTATACACCAATTCCCGTCGATTTCTTTCGCTCTCGGGCGCATTCACCCCTGGGCCGTGTACATACCCGGCTGGATATATCCGAAACGGCGTTGTCCTCGGCGGTCGGCAGCGCGCTGCTGCGTCTCCGCCGCGGGATCGCCAGGGCCTCCGGCGGATACTGGCTTTTTACCCGACGGAGATCGCTCTCCACGTTCGTGACGTACTTATACAGATAGGCGGACGTGAAAAACTGAATGATAAATTGCAGCAAAATGAGAGCGAGCAACACGCGCGGCTGGAGCATCCAGCGTTGCACCAGTAATGCACTCTTGCTGTTCATGTCGACGGACCCCGTAGTTTTGCTCCTGTGAAAACTCGCGTCTGAAAAAGCCGCCCTCGCGTCGGGCGCGCGGCAAAGTTACCGGGGCAACTCGATAAAAAGGGGAGACTAAGGCGAGGGGCCCGCGATCTCGATCGAGGCAAGGGCCGCCCTGCCTTGGAAGATCGCTTAATTACATTTCCGGAATTCGCTCTCGGCCAATTATTATTGTACAGTTAATAACGCAATCGGCGCGCCACACAGACGCGCGTGCGATAACACGCGGGCGTGTATATTAGCGGCGAAGACGCGGCGCGCGGCGGAGCGCAGCTATTTCAATTGGATATCTCTGGCTTGCCGCAGGAGAGGAGAAGATCGGGGGGAGAGAAGCGCGCACAGATCTGTGCCGTCTGATTGGTTACTATCAAGCGGAATTGACTATACATTAAACTTGCGCGACATCCGCGCGTTTCACGCTTCCGTCTCCTACGTCCTCCCGCCGCTCTCCCGCTCGGTCGCTCCTCTCGGCCCCGATTTTTCTCCCCATCTCGCAAACTCTCACCAAGACCCGCACTTCCGCGGCACTCGTCACTGGAAAAGAAAATTACTTACGGCCTGCTTTGTCTATTTTATTCAATTTGTCGCTCTAATTTTTTGTTTCTAATTTCACAAACGCGTAGCGCGACGCACACGCGAGAGCCTGGCGCGAGCGGGGGGGGGGGGGACGCTCGCGGGCGCGTTTAACGAAAACGCAGTTTACACGGCGGTTTGCGCGGTGTCCGTCTGTCCTAATGTAAACTAATATATAAACTGTGAGCCGGTGTGCCGTCGTCGGCTCCGCTCCGACGAGACGCATGCGTGAGCATTTCTCTGTGTATTACACCACGGCCAATTGTCATACATTGCACGTGTGAGACATGCGTGGCTTCGTGGTGTGCGCCGACGGCCGGGGCACACCGCGCGTTCGTGAATGCACGCTCCGTTTTGTCCGACGCCACAGCTACACCCGAGCGCGTGTCAATGGGATGCGTTCCAGTCTTAATTAAAAAAAAAGGGGAAGAGAAAAAAAATCGATTTCACGCTGCAGTCGCTGTAACAGTCTCTTTCGCGTAACGCTTCGTTACGGCACTCGCCCGGCGGCGAATTACCGCTCGACGGTAGTTAAATCCGAACTCCACGCTCGGTGGAGGTGTATAGATTTCCAATGAATCGTGTAATTATTATTCCATATGCATCTATAATTGTAACTCGGCGTCCGGGGCGGAAACGAAAGAGAAAGACAAGTCGGTATCCTGTGAAAAAATATTTCATACACAAATATATATAACGTATATATATTTGTGTATCTTTTATAATTCTTTGAACTTCTTTTTACACACACATGTATATACATATATATGCACACATTTTCTTCTTTTATGAAAATTACAATTAGCTGCGTAATATCACAGTACAGGACCTTCCCAAGAGTGAAAGTGTAAATGAATTTTCAGTAATGTACAGTACACTATGTACAACTATTATTAAAACTAGAGCGTTTGCTCGTTAATCGTCCGAGTCCGCTTGGCTAGTAGAGCACTGCCTATCCTCATCACGTAGAACGATTTCTATATCGTTCTTGGAATCTCCATTTGTGTTTATGTCTACGTTATACTTCGAGGCCTGTGGACAACGAGGTGTTTTTTTTAAAAACTAGTCGGTCACGTTTGCACTTTTGCTTTTCGTCTAACGATTCTTTCCCTCACCAAGTCCAGCGACGCTAAAAAGTATCTGGCCACCTCGCAAGGATGTTCCTGTTGAACGATGCTGTCGAAGCTGGTTCTGCGTTGACCACTAGTCTTCAGAGTCTCCACAATTCGCGATGCGTAATCGCGAATGCAAAACGTCGACCTTCGCTCGGCGTCGCATAACTTGGGCTGTATTATTTCGTGCCATTTGTCGACATTTTCCTGAAATTGCGGTTTATCTCGCTAATACTTTACAACCGCTATTTTCCTTCTTATTAGTTTTCTCAATCGCCGGTCGACTTACCGATACGGACTGCGGCGAGTCCGATTGAAACCAAACGTCACAGAAACTTTCGCGCGGTGTCGACATGTCCACAGGACTCGGACTGCGAGAATTAGAAATGCCGTCGTCGATCGAAGTCGATAAGTTATCCTTGCTACTCGTCGTTACGTCATCCTTGCTACTCGTCGTTACGTCATCGTTGATATGCGCTTTTGACTTGGTATCATCGCTTAATTTAAATCCTAAAAAATCCAATTCTGCGTTCGTCACGTCTTTGTACTGCAAAGGGTTGTATTCTCGTATACACTTCATACAAGTACGCAAGTTTTCCTTGAACATATTTGGTCTATCTGGAAAACGAATCATTTAGTATGAATCGGTAGATTGGTCGACGGACAATTTCAAAGCAAATTATGGTGGATTTACCTTCTCCGGAATAATACAAATGCTCCACGCTGCGCAGAAGATTTCTCTTTCTTTTACTTTGTCGTCCTCTGTTGCCCTCAGATGCAACTAACTTTCGCTTTAACTGCAAATAAATAATTCAAGGATATTACCAGAAAGAAACATCGTTAATTAATTACCGGTAAAACTGAAAACTGTCAGTCTAACCGTTTTCGATGTGGATTTTAAAGGAGAACGTTGCTGCTTTTTTTCCATTTTATTTCTTTTACTGTTATTTAAAGGAGTATTTTGTTCGGATTTAGTAAGCGCTTTTGCACAATCCCCGTTTGTGTCGTTTAATAACGCTGGATCATCTGTCGACGAAGTTCTGAAATGTCAATAATTTTAAAACTCTTGACAGATTGATTGATTACATTGAGTAAAAACAATGTTACAAAAATGCACGAAAATTATACCTTCTTCCTTTCGAATTTACCGACTCGGGCGGGCTATCCAATAGACTGCCAACATCTATGCTTTCCCTGATGTTGTTCAGACACTGATCTTCCGAATCATTGTTATTCAAGACTGTACTGTCGATGTTAGATATTATCGGCGAATTTGTATCGGTGGGCGTATCTGGGCACGTCTCACTCGACGTATTGAGAGTCACGTGGCAACTATTATCACTTGAAATATTTGTTGGCGTTTCGACAAGCATGCTGTCAGCCTCAGTATCCCCGGATAAAGTGATACTTTGTTGGCTCGCCTCCAAAGACGTATCCAGACGAGAAATCTCTTCTTCCGGCGAATCACAGTCCCCATTGGATTCGGCGTCCGAGTTAACATCTTCATTATTGTCGTGTACAGTCGAATTCAATGCCGATGTATCGGAAAGTCCGTACGAACAATTGGGCGAAGATTTTTCTTTGGCGGAGACGTCGTCGCAATAGAAGTCTGAAATGCGGATAATTCTAAGACACTCGACAAAATCGAACATTTCTTTTCGTCCAATCACATACCTTGAGGCGCAAACTCGTCGACCAGTATACCATCCGCGTTTATATTCTGATTGCACCTGCGATACAAGAAGTACTACGTGTGATCAAACTCTCTAATCGCAATTAAATTTAAGGCCTGTTCTTTATTACTGCACTACTGAACTAATGCAATAAGTTAAAATGAAACAAATAGATTACCTCTCATTCCAACTCATTGCACCAGTGTGCACTAGTTCAGCAGTGCAGCAATAAAAAAACAGACCCTTAGATGCGTGGAAAGAGGATGACACTCACCGAAAATCATACTTCTTGCCGACGACTTCCCCATTCACATCGTAAATGTCGATGGAGACGTGTTCCGTGATACCCTTCTCCAATTGTGTAAACCGGCGGCTTTTAGATTTGACAGAATCGTGTGCCACGTGATTCTTCTTGATATTCTTGTCTACTTCTTCCTCAAAGTTAACGGTTTTGAACTGATGAAAGTCTGCGTCAGTCTTTCTATCTCTCTTCTTAGTGGGACTCTTTGTCGCTTCTTCTTGCCTGAGAAATAATTTTACATGCACCATTTCCAGTTGATAATTTGTAATTAAAAGAAACGATCAATTAATTACGGACTCTCGATTATCTCGATTTCATTCACCGGCTAGATCGTTTATCCGTCACCAATGTCGATGACGAAGACGGCTTGGTGTAGAACCGAAACGTACGACTCGTAGTTTGCGTTTCAATGTAAAATCGAAGTTAAATAAAATTGACTCGTGCACAAAGAACCAACTTTTCCCTTGTTACTGCCTAATTTTCAAGTAATTGTAAATACATTTTGATTCCCCGTAGAGTTACAAGGCGTTTTTGAAGAAACGTGCCCAAACCTCTTTATAACACCTCTCTCTACATCCACTTCGCTATGTGGCGATCGAACGAAAAACCAACAATGTTTTGTTTGGTTTTGAACCCGGATCTTCGGATTACCGGACTAGCGCACAATCCTCTGCGCCACGATCGCCTAATCTTCAATTAATTAGCAAACTAAATTTCAATCTTTCCCGTTGAGATTTCTTTCACGACACGAAAATATCACTTACTCGTGAGTCGATAGTACATTTCTCGAGTAGTCGGCTTTGGTCCACAGAGAATCTACTCGATGTACATAGGCGGCCGTGGAGTTCTGTAAGACGAGTCCGGCCTCGCTGAAGCTCTGGTTGCACGACGTGTTGAACAAGGAGCAATACTTCTCTAGAGTCTGCAACAAACGAGAGAGATGTTACATGCACGTGCGCGGACGAGAGACAGTCTTATCCTACCTGCGCGAGGGGGAAGTGCCATTTCGCCAGCTCCTTCGCGGGCTTCGTAAGTTGTAAACCGATATCTTGTACGGTGACCATCTTTGCCGTTTCATAAACGTCACGGTTCGCGTAGGAGTCATAAATCCGTCAATCCCAGCAAACGTCGCTCTCGCACCTATCGGCAATGCTATCTGGAAAGTGATAAGACGATCAAAGTCCACGAAAGAAGAAAAAAAAAAAAGAGCATGGCGGGCGACGTTCCGCGACGTCTCGTCGCGTTAACGAGATATCGAGGGCGTGAACCAACCTGATCGATAAGAAGAGACGGAGAACAGCT